ATCAGGTTATTTTAATCCTTGATCTCCTACAGGGTGGAATCTGGGTGTGGCTGTGCTCCTTGCCTGGGGGCTGGGGGGAGGAGTCTCACTCTCCGGAGAGAATGGCTGCCTCAGACGTGGGCTCAGGGGTGTCTCAGCACTCAATTCGCTGCCACCTCTCCCGGCCCCCCTTCTCTCCTCAGTCTCTCCCCAGATTCCACTCCTCCGCACACTCTCCCTCTCTTCAGCACAGGTGAGTGTCTGTATCCGAAATGTCCCATGAACAGGGTTCAGTGAAAACAAACAAACAAACGCCGGCCGCGGAAACGGGGAAGGCTTGGTTTCTGTAAGCTTCTTCTCTTACCGGGACTGCATGGTCTGGTCAGCTCTTCAGGCTGCCCCCTTTAGGCTCAGTCCTCTGTGATCACAGACCGAGCTCTCAATTCCCCCGGCAGCGCCAGGAATCCCGCGGTTCTCCTTTCCCCCGTCAGGGGCTGTGCCTGTCCCAAGGGACGCGGCTGTCTGCCACGCGGTCTCCCTCCGACTCCTAAAAAACAAACTCGAGACTTAGGTTAAACCTGAGCTCTACCACTAATTAGCTTTATGATCTTGGGCATGATTCCATTTTTGCTTGCTTATTTGCAAAATAAGGGGTTTGGACCAGGTGATGTCAATGGTCGTTACATTAATAGATTCTTCACCTCTACTCCCAGCTCAACAGTGGGAAGAAAATCTCAGCCTGGGTTGCATTAAAACTAATCTGACCAAGTGAGTAAAATCCATCTTCACTGTGTCTATTTTTCCTCTCTTCAGCCTCTTCTACTGATAAACTGTAAAAAGTTAGAGTAAGATACCTGGGACTCTGTTTTTCTTCCCGCTCTATCATAGCTGCCTCCTTTCTAAGTTAAGTCTCTCTTCTTATTGGTTTCCCATGTCACTTCCATTACACTGACATACTCTTTTTCATCCAGCTTTTCAGGCTTCCCTGAGCGATGGACCCAGGAATGTATACACCGTCTTCAACAGATCTCCCAGCATCTGGAAAAAACAAGGTCAGGGAATGTAGTTTCTGAGTGGGGACTGAAGGTGATAGAGCTTTTAAGAGGGAGGTAGGAAGGGAGTGAAAGAGAGAGAGGAAGGAAGATGAACAAGGAGAGAGGGAGAAGAAAAAGAGAGTGAGTTAGTTGGATATTTTGGAAATAGGGGAAAGTTCTGGGTTTAAAAGAATTTAAAGAACCACTGGTCTATTGATCATTTCTGACTGGAATGGGACAAATGTCTCCCTTTGTCCTGGAGGAGGAATTCTTTCCATAAGTAATTAACCTTTTGTTGTTGTTATTCTCCCTCAGTCCAAAATATTTTGCATTTGAAATGGCCATTATTTTTCCCCCTTTCTACTTTTCCTTTTTCTGTTTTGAAGCAAAATGAAACTTTTCTCTTTATTCCTTAGATCAGCTCTTATGGAACCATATTTTCCTGACCTGCAGGATATTTCTTCCTCCACCTCCTGTGTTTGTGTGACTCAAAAGCCTCTTCTACCCTTTTGTGACTGTAAGATGACAACATATTCTACTGTGCCCTGCATCTCCTCTGGATCATCATGCAGCAACTCCAATTTGTCTCACTCTTCTGTCTTTTCTGAAGGAATAACGTGGCAATCCCGGAGCCACAGTTTACCTATTTTATCTAAAAAGCAACCACCTGTTTTCAAGAATCAAAGCACATCCCTGCCTCCTTTTCAGCTCTCAGAGCTTGGGAAATCAAAAATCTTTCCAAATTTGGCAGCTCTTTCACCTTTAAGACCTCAAAGCTCTTTAATCAAGTCTATTTTTGAATCCTCAGATTTCTGCAAGCAAGTAAAAACGAAGTATGAGGGAAGGAGGAAGAATCATTTGACATCAGATCATTGGCCAAATTCTGTTTTCAAAGAGAGACCTCGAGTCCCAGGGTGGGCTTCAACCCAGCTCTCTCCTTTGGCTAGGAGAGAGTTAGAGGGACATATGGCTTGGAAGGTTTGTACTTTGCAGAAACAAACAGTGCCTTTGCCTGTGAGGGAATCATGGGCAATGTTGAATTATTTAATTGAAGTACATGGAAGCATCCCTGAACCAGAGAAACCCCAAATCCAGTTATCTATGCCCATTAATCAAAGCACTGAGCAAAATATCAACAATAAATCCCCAGACCTTCCATCATTTCAGCGCCATGTGAACACTGGAGTGGAATCTGTATTAAATAGAACAGAAACAAAAATTTCACAATCACTTATCCCAGGTAAGCAGTCACAACCTGGTGGTGGCCCCCAAGTCCTTGGATCTAAGCTGGTAGTTACATCAATCGGCATTCCACCTCCCAAAAGTTTAAGAGTTGACATAATTCAAAAGGAAACCACTGTACTGGAGAAGGACCCAAAACATGTGCTAGAACTTAATTTAGAGCAGAGGGTAAGAGGTCTTGGAGAAAAAAGCATACAGCAGCATGAGACCCAAGTGACTAATGTCGAGTTGCCTCCAAAGCTACCATATCAAGTCACAAATAGCATAAAGGTAACACCACTGGCATTACTTCAAGTCATGGATTCAATGGGGATGAATCCAGAATCACATTCAGAATTGACAGAATCTGTAGGTTTGTTTCCACAGCCAAATGAAGTTGTGAAACCAATAGAAACAGCGAGTGTAAGATCAAAACCAGCATATCATATAATTGAACCTGTAGAGGTAACCCCAAGGCCTCGGCATCAAGTTATGGAATCAAAGAAGATGACCTCAAGATTACTGAATCAAGTCACAGATAATGTGAAGGTAACTCCTGAAGTACTGCTTGAAGCCATGGATTCCATGGGGAAAATTAAAAAATCATATATAACAGAATCAGTGGAAATGACCCCAAGGCTACAATATCAAGTTAAGGAGTCAGTGAAAATTAACACATTGTTGGGCCATCAAGTCATACAACCAAAAAAGATGGGTAGAAGGCCACAGCATACAGTAATGGAAAAGGTGGAAATGACCCCAGGGCCACAGCATAAAGTTATTGAATCAGTAGGCATAACTTCAAAGCCACAAACTCAAACCATAAAACCAGTGAAAATTATTCCAGAACCAATATGTCAAAACAAAAAATCATTGAACATGATACCCAGGCCATTGCATCCATTCATAGATGTCATAAAAATAACTCCTGTGGCACTATTACAAGCTATGGATTGCATGGGAATAATTCCACCAGCACAGCCAGATGGTACCCCAGATTCACAGACTCATATTTCAAATTTGACCCTAAGAGCAACTCAACCAGATGATTTGATGTTTTCTAGTTCTCCTACTACTATTGATCCACATGGAATTAGAGAGTATGTGAGTGTACCTTCCAACCTACCACCTAAAGTCATGGAATCAGTAGGGATGCCATCACTTCAATCCATACATTCTCTGAAGACAACCCCAAGGTTGGGGTCATCCACTGAAATAATCATAGAACCACAGTCACAAGTTGTAGAATCCCAGGATTTGACCTCAAAGCCAATATCTCAAGTCAAGGAATCTCTGGAGTTGACTCCTGGGCCATGTATTCAAGTGCTAGACTCCATGGCGATGACTCGACAACCATATCATCAAGGCACAGAATCTATTACATTAACCCCAGTGTCAACTCAAGACTTAGAATCTCTGAGGTTGACCCCAAGGCATCAAATCCTGGAATATCCAGAGATGAGCCAAAGGCAAAGCCATCAAGTTATAGAAACTATAGAATTGACCTCTGACATATGGCTACAAAGGAAGAAATCTTTAGAGTTGACACAGTCACATCACCAAATAATGGAATCTTTAGGGACAATACCAAAGTCACTGGGTCAAGATACAAAATCTATGGGAATGAGTCAAAAACCAGCACATGAAGTTACAGAATCCACAGTAATGACTATTACACCACAGCTTCAAGGTGTGAAAAATATGGGGGCAAAGTCAGAGCCAAAACTTCAAGTTGTAGATTCTATGAAGCTATCCTCAGAGTTGCCAAATGTAAAATCTGAGAAGCAGACCATAGGACCAGGGTTACAAAATATAAAATTTGTAGATATAACCACAGGTTCAATACCACAAATAGTAAAATATGAACAGCTGATTCCAACTGTGAACTCTATAGAATTGGCCATAGAAGTTCAACAGCAGAGTGTAAAAGCTGATAAGTCGAACCCTATACCACAGTTGCAAAGTGGGAAATCTGTACAGTCATACCCAGGATCTCAGCTTCAAGGAGAGAAATCTATCCAATTGACCCTCGGACCACAACAGCAAAGTGAAAAATCTGATGAGTTAGCCCCAGTACCACAGTGGCAAAGTAGGAAATCTACAGATTTGACCTCCAGTTCACAGTTGCAAGGTATGGAATGTGTTCATTTGATCCTACCACCAGGGTTGCCAGGTATAAAAACTGTGGAGTTGACCCCAGGACTACAACAGGAGGATATGAAATCTGTGAAGTTGACCCCAAAGCCATGCTTACAAGACATAAGATCTGATGAGACAGACCGACTGCTATTGCTTCAAGATGTGGAACCTCAAGTGGTAAAAAGTAGGAGGTTGATTCCTGAGACACAGGTAGAAGGTATGATATGTGAAGGGCAGACACCAGGGATACACATTCCAGGAGTAAAATCTGTAAAGTTGATCCCCAAATCAAATCACCAAGCCACAGAACCTGAAGTATTGACTCCATGGCAAGCTTCAGAATCTTTAGGGATGATTTCAGAGCCAGGATATCAAGAACCAGAAACAAAGTTGACCTCTGACATTTGTCACCACAACAAAGAATCTGTGGGGTTGATACAATCATCTTTAGGAAATACCCCAAGCTCTGACAATGACATTTCTCATAAATTTATCTCAGAGCCACAGATAGAAGATTCAAAATCTATGGAGTTAACTCCTGGGCATCAGTTGCCAAGTCTAAACTTCTCTGAGTTGACCAGAGGACCACAGTTACAAAGTATGGAATCTTCTGAATTTATCCAAGTAGCACAGTGGCAAGATGTAACAACTGTGGAGTGGACCCCAAACTCAAAGTTTCAAGGTTTAAAATCTGAGGCACTAATCCAAGAGCCACAGCTGGAAGATATGAAATCTATGCAATTAACACCAAAGCCACAATCGGGAGATGTCAAATCTATGGTGCTAACCCCTGGGCCACAGGTGGGAGGTGTGCAACAAGTGGAGCTGACTCCAGGTTCAGAACTTCAAGGTTTAAAGTCTGAGTTGTTGATTTCAGAGTCACAGCTGGAAGATGTGAAATCTGTGGCCTTAACTCCAGGAGAATGCCTGAGATGCCCAAGTCCACAGCTGGAAGGTGAGAAATCTGTGGAAACAACCTTAAGCCCAGAGATAGATATCAAATCTGTAAAAACCACCCCAGATTCCAAGCTTCAAGGTATAAAATCTGTTCAGTTGCAAGGTGAGAATTCTGTGCCTTTTGTACCAGGGCCATTGCTCCAAGGGCTTAAATGGCAGGGTATAAAACCTGAGGAATTGACATCAGAGCCACAAATGCAATACATGAAATTTTTGGAAATTACCCCATGTTTAAAACTTCAAAATTTAAAATCATTAGAGGAGACTCCAGATCCACTGCAAAGTATAAAATCTGTGAAGCTGACCCGAAGTCTAAAGAGGCAGGTAGATATAACCAGAATACGAAAGTTTCAAAGAGTAAAATCTGTGGATTCAGCACCAAGGCAACAGTTTCAAGGGGTATCAAATGTGAATGTAAGTACTGAGACAGAACAGAATGGTGAGATACCTTTAATATCACCAGAGAAGCAATGTGTGAATTCAGAGCAATTTAAGAGAGGGTCTAAGTCAGAAGATGGGGTGTCTTTGGAGTTAAATCCAGAGCTAAACTTTAAAGATGGAAAATTAGTAGACCTCAACTTTGAGTTACAGTCGAAAGAAATGAAATCATTTGAATTGACCCCAGAATCAAATATTCAAGATGTAAAATCTAAAGAGTTTAAACTTGAACCACAGTTGCACCAAGTGAAACCTTTGGTGTTAACTTCAGAACTACAGCTTCAAGGGGTGAAAACTGTTGATTTAAAACAGGAGTCACAGCCTGGATGTATGAGATGTATTCAATGGATACCAGGACCTGAGTTCCAAAATGTGAAATCTATAGGGTTAAATCTTGGGTCTCAACCTCAAAAAGTCAAATCTGTAGAGTTGAAATCTTTTATACAGTCAAGAGATGTGAAATCATCTGAGTTGACTCTAGGGCCAAAAACTCAAGGTGCAATGTATATGGAGTGCAACTGTGAGCCACATTTGCAGAATGTGAAAACCCTTGAGTTGCCCCCAGGATCACAACTGCAAAAAGGGAAATTTTTGGCATCATCATCAGAGCCACAGCATCAACGTATGAAAAGTGTAGAGCTAAACCAAGAACCACAGCTTAGAAGTACAAAATCTGTTGAGTGGATACCTGCACTAGAGTTTAAAGGTATAAAATCTCTGGTAAATCTTGAGTTACAATCTCAATGTGTCAAACCAGTAGAGTGGAAAACTGTGATACAGTCAAGGGATAGGAAGTCATCATCTACACTGACTTCAAAACCAGAGCTTCAAGGTATACAATCTTTGGCATCATGCCAGGAACATCAGCCTCAGGGTTCTGATTTGAAACCTTGTTTACAGCTTCAGGAAGTGAAACCATTATGGTCATCCCCAGGAACACAGCTTCAAGGTGTAAAGTGTCTTGAACCACAGCTTCTGGAGGTGAAATGTAGGGTATTAAACCAAGGGTCACAAAGTGGTAAAACTATAGAGTCCACCTCTCTACTACACTTGAAAAGTGTAAAGTCATCTGAGTTGGCTCTTCAAACAAAGCTCCAATGTGTGAAATCTGAGGATTTCAACACTGGGTCACAGTGGCAAAGTCTAAAATTTTCTAAGTTTCCACCTAAGATAAAGTCCCAAGATATGAAATCTACAGAGTTAAATCCTAGCTCACAGTTGCAAGGTACAACTTTTTCTAAATCAACTATAGGGACAAAGATTCAAGGTGTCAAATCTACAGATTTCAAACCTGGGTCATTGTTACAAGTTATGAAATCTTCTCAAGGGATCTCAAAGACAAATCTTCAGGATGAAAAACATAAAAAATTAATCCCTGGCCCCCAGATGCAAGTTGTGAAATCTAAGCAAATACTGGGGACAAAGCTTGAAAAAGCCCCATCAGGAGAATTCACAGGCCCACAGTTGCAGGATATAGACTCTTCTAGGTTGCTCATGGATATAAAACTTAAAGATGTAAAATGTATGAATTTAAGGTCTGGACTACACTTGGGGAGTATGAAATCTTCTGAAGTGGTAAAAAAAAAGCTTCAAGATATGAAATCTGTAGAATTGAAACCTAGCCCAAAGTTACAAGGTGAGAAATCTGACTTGACCCTGGGGGGCAAGTTTCCAGGTACAAAATTTGTAGAGTTGGACTCAGATCCACAGTTACAACATATAAAATGTTCTGACTTGGTCATGGGTATAAAGCTTCAAGATATGAAATCTTTGGGGTCCAATTTTAGACCACATTTTCAAGGTACAAAATCTTCTGAAGTGATCCCAGGGACAAAGCTTCAAGAAATGAAATCTTTTTTTAACTCTGAATCACAGATACAAAGTAAAAAATCTGAGTCAATTCAAGGGACAAAGCTTCTAGATGTGAACACCTTAAGGTTCAACCATGGTCCAAAGTTACAGGGTGGAAACTCATCTGATTTAACCCAGAGGAAGAAGCTTCAAGGGGTGAAACCTTTGAAGTTCAACCCTGGACCACAGGGACAAGGTGAGAAATCTGATTTGACACTAGAGTGGAGGCTTCAAGATTTGAAATCTGTTGAGTTAAAACTTGTTCCACAGTCACAAGTTGTGACATCTGAGTTAACACCAGAGACAAAGCTTCAAAGTGAAAAATATGTGGAGTTCACCACTAGACCAATGTGGCAAGATATGAAATCTTCTAAATCGACTCCAGGTACAAAAGTACAAGATGTTAAATCTTTGGGGTTCAACTCAGCCCCACACAATAGGATGTTGTCTATGTTGACACGAGGCACACACCTTCAAGGTATGAAATCTATGGAATTCAACTCTGGAGCAAAGTTGCAAGGTACAGAATCCTCTGAGTCGATAAACCTTCAAATAATGAACTCTACAGAGGTCAATGATGGCCCAAAATTTCAGGTTGCAAAACCCTCTGAGTTGGCCTTGGAATCAGAGGTTCACAGTGTGATATCTCCTGAGTTCAATGATGGAAAGCAGTGGCAAGATGAGAAATCTTGTAAGTTAAATCCATGGCCAGAGCTTCAAAGTGTCAAATTTATGGTGTCCAACCCTGAGCCATATTTTCAGGGTGTGAACTCTTCTGAATTAACTTCAGATTCAAAACATCAAGGTATAAAGTCTTCTGAATTGAATCCAGAGATTCAAAGTGAGACATCTATGGTGTTCAACCCTGGACCACATTGGCAAGGTTTGAAATCTAAATTGATTACTGGTTCAAAGTTCCTAGACATAGCACCTTTGGAATGCAACCCTAGGCTACAGATGCAGTGTGAAAATTCTTGTGAGTTGAATACAGTGACAAAATTACAATGTGTAAATTCTACTAGATGTAACTGTGGGCCACCCTTGCAAGGTGTAAAATCTTTTGAATTGACTTCAGATATAATGACAACAGAGTTCAACTCTGGCCCAAAGCTGCAAGGTGTGAATTCTTCTAAATTGAAATCAGGGTCAGAACTTCAATGCATGAACGCTATAAAGTTTAATCCAGGGCCACAGATACAAGGCACGAAGCCTTCTGAATTGAACGCTGGGCCAGAATCTCAGGGCACAAAGTCTATTTTATTTAATCCTGGATCACATTTGCAAGGTGTAAAATCTTCTAAATTAACTCCAGGGATAAAGTTTCCAGAAGGCCAAGTTTTGCAGAACCACCTGGGGTCACAGCAACAAGCTGGACACTCTGTTTTGGATCCTCAGTTAAATGGTACAAAATCTGTGTTATATGAATCAGAGCCACTGTTTGAAGATACAAAGTCTGTGAAGATGAACAAAGAGCCATTGCTTTGTGGTGCAAATTCTGTGAACTTGATTTCAGGCTCTGAGATGCAGGACTTAAAATGTGAGGTGTTTGCACTAGAATCATGTTTTCAAAAAGTGAAATCTGTGGAGTTAAATCCACAGTCAAATACTGAAGTGAAATCTGCAGAATTAACCTCACAGCCAGCATCTCCATTTGAGGATCGTACAGTGTTGACTCATGAACAAGGGCATCAGGCTGTGAAATCTATGGGGATAAAAATAAGGCCTCCTCAAGTTATAGACTCTGAGGATTTGAAGTTAAGACAGGTATATCAGAAGGGGGACTCTGAGGGGTTAACATCAGGAGAAGAGTTACAAATAAGGAATTATTTCTCTAGGCTTCTACACAACTCTTCAAACTCAGTCATCTCAAGTTCTGCCAAAACAACATCTGAATTAGGTCTTTGGGATTCTGAGATGACAAAAGTATCAAGAGCGTTGGATATAAAAAACCTTTGGACAGATATTTTGCAGCCTAAAGAGTCCTTTATAGATCCTGCTTCAACTTTTCCCTTTTTCTTTCATAACCAACTCTCTGAGAAGACAACTAACACTGTAGAAACCTCCCATTCTGAGATCCCATGGGTGTATAACGTATTTCAGGAAAGGGTTCAACCGAGGCAGGTAGCAGAGTTAGAGAACTCACTCCAGGGCCTCTCCCAACATCCACCACAAAGCTGGAGATCACCATCTAAGACCTTCCAGGCAGGATCAGGGGCTCGAAGAGGATTAACCTGGTCTGTCCTGGGAAGACAACAGAATGTCTGGGAGCGTCACTCCTGGAAGCAGAGACTACCTAGAAAGTATCTCTCCGATATGCTAATGTTGGGGAATGTCTTGGGAACCACTATGGGAAGGAAGCTTTGTTCTCAACCATCTGTAACAGAAAGGTCTACTGCTGATACCTGTCAGTCTATTCAGAATTTATTTGGGGTTCCTGCTGAATTGATGGAATTTTCCCAGAGTCTGCTAGAGACGGGTCGAGGCACTATTTTTCAGGCTTCAATGGTCAAAAACTACATTCAGAGACATACTTCATGCCATGGTCATGAGAAAGGAATGGCCTTAAGGGTATGGACACGTGGTTCTATGTCCTCCATAATACAGCAATACTCTGGCACTAGAGTGAGAATAAAGAAAACAAACTCAAAGCTCAATGATATACCCCAGGAAGTCATTCAGCACAGTCCTGTTTCATATACAGAGGGTCAGCTTCCTGACCCAGTAGAGTCAGAGTCTTCCTTCAATATATTTTTCACTGTGAAAGATCCTGTTCCAGTGGAAGAGAGTGAGAACTCACAGAGAGATTCACAGACAAGGATTTTTGAGTCCCAACACCCACTGGAGCCAAGTTTTCTTTCCCAGGCCCAGGCTGACCTCTCAGAACAGTTCCAATTGCTAAAAGATCTGCAGCTAAAAATAGCAGCAAAACTGTTAAGGAGTCAAATACCTCACAATGTACCTCCACCTCTCACTTCAGGTCTGGTCCTAAAATACCCTATCTGCCTACAGTGTGGCCGATGTTCAGGATTTAATTGTCATAAATTACAGACTACTTTTGGACCTTATCTTCTTATCTATCCACAGCTCCACCTCGTAAGCACTCCTGAAGGCCATGGAGAGATCAGATTGCGTCTTGGCTTTAGGTTACGAATTGGAAAAAGATCCCAAGTTCCAAAGTATTATAGAAGAGACAGACCCTTGACACCTAGGAGCCCTAGATCAGCAGCTAAAATCTGTAATCAAGCTTCCAAGAGTCCTGCTTCTACCATAGATTTCCTTTCTCAGTCTTCCCAGTCTCCTGCTTCTGTACAAGTCCACATTATCCCTGACTTAGAAGGACAGACAGATATTAGAGAGCCTGGGCACTATGAATTCACTGAAGTTCACTCGTTATCAGAGAGTGACTCTGAAAGCAATCAGGATGAAGAGTGGACTAAAGTGAGAAGCAAAAATGCCCATGATTCAAAAAATCCAATGGAAAGAATCAACAAGAGATTTGGAACACAAAACAAAAAGTCCTATACAAACAGTAGAACCATAATGCAGAGTCTCTCTAGGAAATTACCATCCCAGTTGAAAGGGAAAAGAAATGGAGCATCTCAGGCAGCTACTGCCTCTTTAAAAAGGCACCCCAAGAAACCCTCCCAACCCAAATTCATTAAACTGCTCTTTCAGGGACTAAGAAAGGCATTCCAAACCGCACGCAGAATTATGGCATTTGTTGGGCCAAAGCCTGAGGACAGGACAAGGGCGGACCATTTGTGGTCGAGCAAAAACTGCCAACCAGAACAAAAAGCCTCTGACTATAGTTCAGAAGGAGATGATAGCGAAAGAGACAGGATGCCAGTTGTCAAGCTAAAGCCAACAGACCCAACCACTGAACAGGAGAGCATGCCCTGGGAAGAATTAGAACAGTTCTGCTCAGCACAACCACCAAAAACAGATAGCTCTTTCCAATCCACACCTTCCCCACTGCCCAGGTGCAGAGTTTCCCAAAGAAGTATCACCACAATCAGACACCCTTTGGGTACTGTTCAGAATGAGAGTGGCAGCAGGCCTAAGGAAAACTGGTACGGAAAAGAAATCTCTAGCCCAGAGTCCAAAAGAGGAATCCCAGTTCAGGCCCAAGGGAGACTCCTACATGGAACCCCTAAGAAGAGAACCTCCTACAGTGACTTTAAAGAGATACTCATGCCTAGGAAACCAAACCACCGCAGCTTCCACAGGGAAAGAGCCCCATGTGATTTCTTTGACAGGAGACATAGTAGTCCCTCTCCGAGGAGACATCGCAATCCCTCTGGGAGAAACCATCACAGTCTGTCTCGGAGGAGACATCTCAGTCCACCTCGGAGGAGCCATCACAGTCCCTCTGGGAGGAGCCATCTCAGTCCACCTCGGAGAAGCCATCACAGTCCATCTCAGAGGAGACATCGCAGTCCCTCTGGGAGGAGCCATCTCAGTCCACCTCGAAGAAGCCATCACAGTCCATCTCAGAGGAGACATCGCAGTCCCTCTGGGAGGAGCCATCTCAGTCCACCTCAGAGGAGACATCGCAGTCCCTCTGGGAGGAGCCATCAAAGTTCTTTTCAGATGAGCCATCCGAGCTCCTTTGAGCGGAGATGCCGCAGTCCCTCTGAGCGGAGATGCCGCAGACTCTCTGCGAGGAGAAACCACAGCCCCTTTGAGAGGAGAGGACATAGTCATGCTGAGAGGGGCAGACACAGTCCATCTGAGAAAACCCATGGGAGGCCCTCGGAGAGAACTCACAGGCGCCCCAAGGAGAGACTCAGACACAGCTCGCGTTGGGAGAGGCCCAGACATACTTTTTCTAAAGATTTCATGAGATACTCAAATATCTCCTAGGGATCACACACAAAAAAAGCCCCCCCCAAGCAGGGCAAATTGGGAGCCCTGAAGGAAGCAGATGAGATGTCCGCCCCCATTATTCATTTATCCCCGCAAGTCTTCACCAAGCTCGCCTTTCCGGGCTTCTTTCCTGCTCAGCCAACGGACCCCAATTCTTGCATCCTCAGCAATGAACGAGCCTATGCCTCTCTACCCGGGGGCTGGGCCGGCGGGAATGGGTCTGCCATTTCCGATAAATAAAGGGGCAACAATTAACCTCCTGTGCATCTAGAAAGACCACTCGTCGTGCTGGGAATGGAGGGTGGGCATGACGGATTGGGAGGGGGTCCTGAGGCCAGGTTACGGCTCCACTGCTCCCCGGGGTCCCACCACGCAGTCCTGGGGCGGGGTCTCCGAGGCATTGGAGAGCGGCTCGTCACGTGACGCGCGGCGGCGGCAGAAGCCCCCTCGGAAGCCGCCCGGCGGAAGTGGGCGTGCGGGCCGGAGTCGCGCGGCGCCGACTGCGCAGGCTCCACATCCGGGAGAGGCGAGGCGAGCAGAAGTGGCGTTGGTCTGGCTGGAGCCCCGGGGTGAATTTGTTAGGCGCGGAGAGGGAGTGATGTCTTCCAGGCTCGGTGCAGGACCCGCCGTGAGTTTCCCGGTTTGGCCGTTATGCTTCCGCGGGAGCGCTGTGGAGCCCGCGGGCCTCGCTTTTGTCCCGAGCTCACCGTTGGTTTTATCCGAGCCGCTCGCAGGCCCCACCCCGCTAGGTCAGAGCTACCTGTGCCCCTCTCTCTCCCCACTCCTCCGCTGCCGGTGCCTCCCCACCTTGGAGTCAGCGCGTCGCCACATTGCCATTCGTTTCTATTCTTTTCACATAATCCAATGCCTCCCATATCCATTGTCCTCTCTTTTCTCCTCCCTTTAGAGCCTCTATCCAGACAGGGTTTTCAGAATGGGGAAGATGAAGGCTCTGGTGTTGTCACCTGCCCTAGGAAGATAGGACGGCACACTTTTCCTAAAAAAAGCCCTGCCTCCTTCGGTTTGAGGTAGCTGCCCCGGGAGAGCTTCGTGTCTTCTGGGCTCGGGGGAACTGTCTTTTCGTGGTCAAGGTTCAGAGGTCCCCGGCATTCACTCATGTGCTTGCGTTTGATAGACTTCGGGACCCACATCCTTTAAGCAGCAGAGGAGCACGAGGATCGTGGGAACGAAGACGTAAGTGAGGTTTTCTGAGGTCCGTTTGTAATTAGAACTATCTGTGATGGTGAAAATTTTCTGTATCCGCACTGCCCGGTACTGTAGCTACTAGCCACCTAGGGCTTTTGAGCTCTTGAGATGTGGCTAGTGGGAGAAACTATTTTAAGTTGCTTTTCATTTGAATTATTTTAAATTTGAATAGCCACCTGTAGCTAATGTCTACCTGATTGGACAGGGCAGGTCGAAACCCAGAGAAAAACTTAGCTGGCAAAAGTACGAATTATAATAAAAATGGAAGGTGGGACTCAGTGTAGCTCTCCATTTATGTACTCATGGATATGTTGATGAACATAGGAAGGAATAATAAAAATGACTATAAGACATCCTTGTATTTTCAAACTATTTGGCTTCCAGACTGGTGTATTTTGTATATTGAATGTGCTAAGCTTTTACATATTAATGCAAAAAATAGTTAACTAGGTATTTATTGGAAGGGATTAATTCATTCAGATAACATTTACTGAATTTCTATGTTCCAGACACCACTGACCTGTTTTCTGTTACTGTACAGTGGTTTGCATGTTCTAGGATTTTATATAAATGAAATTATACATTATGTTGTCTTTTTGCATGATTTCTTTCACTCAGAATAATGATTTTGAATGAAAGTTAGTTTCTAATACTGAATAGAATTCCATTATGGACAGACCATAATTTATTTAGCCATCTACCTTGATGAATATTTGGGTTATTTTCAATTTGGGGGTATTACAGTAAAGCTGCTATGAACATTCTTGTGCAAGTCTCTGTGTGGAAAAATGTTTTCGTTTCGCTTGATAAGTATCTGAGATGGTATTTATTTACTAGGATGGTATTTAGCATTTAAGATGGTTGGGTCATATGTCAGGAGTGTGTTTAACTTCACAAGACATTACTTGTTTTCCAAAGTTGTGGAATGTTTTACATTCCTGCCAGCAGTGTATGAGAGTAAGTCTTTAATTTTAGCTAATTTAGTGGGTATATAATATTGTTTCATTGTGTGTGTTTTTTTAAATTTTATTTTTCAGTTACAATTGACATACAACATTATATTAGTTTCAAGTGTACAACATAGTGCTTAGACATATAACTTACAAAGTAATCACCCTGATAAATCCAGTACCTTTTCCCTCATTTCAAATGTGCTTTATTTCATGGAGCATAGTTATAATAGTTGTTTTAAAGTCTATGATAGTTCCAACATCTAGATTATCTTGGGGTTGTCATCTCTTTATCATCTGTTTCTTTGAGAATTTGCTCACATTTTCCTGATTGTATATTGCATAATTTTGGAATTCTCAAGATTGTGAATGATATATATATAGACTCTGGGTTGTTTCAGAATCTTCTGGGAAATGTTAATGTTTTTATTTTAGTAGGTAACCTGTTTAGGTTCAGACCATAAGTTGTTTTGCCTTTTGAGGGCATTGGTTCAATATCAGTTCCATTCTTTGAGTCTTTGCTATGAGAGTTTAGGTCTGTTTTGTACATAAATAGCTCATGGGTTAGTCTGAGACTTTTTTTGGGGAGTTTCAAAACTTGATTTTGCTCTCAAAGCTTTTGATACATTGGTTTGGGTCCATCTCACACTAGTGGCTCAGGGGTTGGTCTGAGACTTATATATTTGTTCAAATCTTATTTCTCTTTTCTAAGCCTTTACAAAAGCTGGTTTGGGTATGCTCCAGACATACATAGCTCAGGCTAAGTTGTGATTTGTGTGGATTCATACCCAAAATTATGGGATCCCTTTTTTGCCTATCTCTTCTCTATGACTCCCCTCACCACACCCACACTCTATAGGTATCCCTCTTCCTGGTTTCCTGGCCAGAAAGGTGTGGATTCTATTGGAATTTAGACTGGCCATGATGCTCTGCAAGTGGGGTCCACCCTTGTTGCAAAGCCACACGTGAGGGGGGAAAAACTGGGAAACACACACTCATTTTTTGAGTCTTCTCCTCAACCCACGTGATTTTACTTGCTTTTCAGAGTCCAGAGTTCTTAGTTATAATCAGCAGGAATGGTGGGCTTACGCCACTATGCCACAACCAGGACTTCTTTGTATTAAATTGATAATCTTAGAGCTCATGTGCAGAGAGCTGAAAATCATTCTGCCCTTTTCGTAACATTTGACATTATCAGTCCCTGTTATTTTTTCTTATTTCCATTTCCATCCCTTTCCTCCCAGTAGATAACCATGTTAACAAGTTTGATATATACCCTTAAATAGAGGGGTGGGCAAAAGTAGGTTTACAATTGTGAGTATGCAAAATACAGAGTTTATTTTTGTACTAGAGGCCCGATGGATGAAATTTGTGCAAGAGTAGGCCTTCCTTCCCCCGGCTGCTGGCACCAGCCTTCCCTCTAGCACCCAGGACCCGGGCTTTCCTCTGGCCCCTTGCAGGCACCTGGGACCCAGGCTTCCCTTGTAGCCTGGCTTTGTCCGGAAGGACGTCCGGTCTAATTAGCATATTATGCTTTTATTATTGTAGATAAGTATTTAGTAATTATTATATTTTTCCATTCAAACAATTGTAAACCTATTTTTTTTTTTTAGATTTTTAAATTGATATTTAGAGAGAGAGAGAAAGGGAGGGGGGGGAGAGAAATATCAATGAGAGGGAGGGAGGGAGGGGGAGAGAGAGAGAGGGAGAGAGAGAGAGAAAGAAACATCAATGTGAGAGTGAATCATCCATCGGCTGCCTCCTGCACAGCCCCTACAAGGGATCAAGCCCAAAACTCAGGCATGTGCCCAACCAGGATGAAGCCCAATCAACTGAGCCACACCAGCCAGGGCTATAAACCTACTTTTGCCCACTCCAGTATTTATGAATTCTTGCAAAATAGCTAGTAATATTTACATGTGTATTTTTTTTTTATACTTACTGAATTGACATTGTACTATAGATCTTGTTCTGTTTGTCTTTTCATTCAATAGTATGCTTTTTAGCCCTGACCGGTTTGGCTCAGTGGATAGAGTGTCGGCCTTCGGATTCAGGGGTCCCAGGTTTGATTCCGGTCAAGGGCTTGTACCTTGGTTGCGGGCACATTCCCAGTGGGGTGTGTGCAGGAGGCAGCTAATCGATGTTTCTCTCTCATCGATGTTTCCAACTCTTTATCCCTCTCCCTTCCTCTCTGTAAAAAAAAAAAATCAATAAAATATATTTTTTAAAAATAGTATGCTTTTTAGTTATGTTCATGTCTCTGTGTGAAATGGTTTATTACTTCTCTCAATTTTACTTACATAGTTTCTTAAGAATGGTCACCTGTATTTCTTCCAACTCCCTGCTCCTTAAACTTCTATCTTTAATTCTTACCAGCTATACCTCTAAAGTGTTATCTTGAATATGTCAGCTTATCTTTACTACAAAACCTTATCGTTCATGCCCTCATCATCTCATCCATACAACTTCCTTAATTCATTTTTCCTCCATGTATCATCTTCCATACAGCATCCAGAATGACCTTTCTAAACCATAAATCTAAAGTGGCCTCACACTTAGTAATCAGCCAAAGACCTTGTATGCATATGTACCTAATCCATGGATGCAGACAGTGGGGCGATGAAGGCCTGGGGCAGGGGGTGGTGGTGGGCTGGAGGGGGTGGGGAGACGGGGAAGGGGACATATGTAATACTTTCAACAATAAAGATGGAAAATAAATAAATAAATAAAAACATTAAAAAAAATAATAAAGTGGCCTCACACCTTGACAACTGTTGTTCTACCATATCCTGAGCCACCTAGAAGATATTTTGTAGTTAATCATTAAGTTTGTTAATGACATACTGACTTGTCTTGGATTTGGGAATTTGGGTTCAACTGTATATCAGATTTCTTAGCCAGCTTAACTAAGACAAGATAGCACCCTTCCTTTAGCTATAGGAGCTAAGTATCATGTTGCCTAAGTAAGATAGGGTAGCTCTGACAGGGTTTAGGGAGAAGGCACATGGA